CCCTTGCTACCTCCCACCCCCCGCGCCGGCCCCCCCCCGCGATTCGGCGGGCCCCCACGCCAGACCCAACCCGCGGCCAAGGCACCGCCGGAGCCGGCGGCGAAAGCCCACTTACCTTCTTTGGCACGCACCCAACGTTGACCTAGGGGGAAATAAGAGCGAGTCTCAGCGTTAAGGCTTAGTTTTTCAAAGGCGCCGCCGCCCTGGAGAGCATCCCACGTCAGGCCGGTACCGAATCCCAACCTCGCTGCCCAGGAAAACAAAGGCAGGATTATGGGTTTCTGGCAAAAGAGGGCTGTAACCGCCTTCGGTGCCTCAAGGTCTTGCGGTGTGCCCGTTTTCCTTCACTTCCTTGAAGGAGAATACGGAAGGTGCGCCGTCTTCAAACACACGGTTGGGTTTGGGTTTTTTTTTTCCCCCTCGGTAATTTAAAAAAGAGGTTTGCTAGGAGAAGGGCGTTTGCCCTCCCCTTTCCTGCGCTTCTGGTCCCAGCACGGCCGTTCTTTCAGGGGAACGCGCTCCAAGGATGAAACTCGTAACCTGTCCCCGGCTTGTTCGAGGAACAAGTTTTGTTTTTCCTGCTCGTTGCCGGCTCGCCGTGCCCGCCAAGTTCTGCTTTGCAGCCTTCCGGCGCTAACCGAGTTAGCGGTTGGGCTGCGCGGACCCGGGACCCGTCAGCATCCCTTTATCGGCCTGAAAACAGCATCTGAGTAATACTGGTGGCATTTAGAGCTTTTCTCTCTTATTTATGTGACTCAGTCAAACACTCTGCATATTTTCAGTCGGGAATAAACAAATTCAAAGTCCTCTCTGCAGTACAATCCAAAATGTTCTAGAAGACCATCATTTTCCACCCTTATTGCAAGTTAAAGGCAGCCAAAAGCCATCAGACTTCCTTTTATGCGTAACAGAAAACATTTCTCCAAAGCCGCAGGATCCTACCCACCAAAGGTGGAGGCAAAGCCTGGAAGATTCCTCCAATTGTATCAGGACAAATTCCTTCAACAAGCCCAAGTATTTGCTCAATCTGTACAATCAGAGTTTAAATGCCAACAGGCAAGTTCAATTGTGCCTGGCTTCTTGGAATATGTTGTGTCACAATTCTGGGCAATTAGCAATTGATTTGGGTGGAAGCAAAACACAGCAGTCAATAATTACTTCAACAGTTTTCCTTGTGTTGGCCTTTGAAGTGTCTGTCAATTGAAACTTGAAATGAAAGGAGAAAAAACACACAAGGGAAAAAGGGGAGATCCCAAAACAAACTGAACTGTGACACATTGAGAAGGTTGTCCAGGATGACAAACAGTTAAATGAAAAACTGAAACTGGTCTGCAAAAAAAAAAGAAAAAAAAAAAGGCAGGATCAATTCGGAGCAGGAATCGAGCTCGAAAGGGAACGCTTTTATCCGTGTTATGACAACGTACTCCCAAGCAGGAATTGCTTCCTTTCTCCAGTTAAGTCGGTCGGTCTTTCAATAAAATAAAAAAAAAAAAAAAAAAAAAAGAGTGGTGGGGGAAGAAGTTAGCGCGCATTTCCCTCGAAAATAACCTCTAACTCATGCCAGTTAAACACTAGAACTAAAAATTTACAAAGAAGCATCAAAGGAGATGGGAGTGTTATTCGAGTTACTTCTTCCTCTCTGAACAGTCCAGAAGAAAAACAACGACTACAAATACAGCAGGCAAACTGACTGTTGGGCTGATGGGTACAGGAGATATATATATATATAGTGTTGAAAGGAATTCAGTCTCAAGTTGTGCTCAACGCTCTTCGTCCTCTGTATGGCACATTTTGGTCCATGATGGGGATTTTAAGTTGAGACGAACCCCGATTTCTTACAGAAACGTGTAAATATTGTTGCTCTTTAAAATGCCAGGTGTACTTCCTTCTACAAAGGTTAGGAGAGGTTTATAGGAAGTAGTCTGGGGTACGACGGGTAACATGAGGCTCTCCACGACGAGGCGCTGGGTCAAACTGGAGGCTGCGGGAAAGAAAAAGGGATCATTTTCCCTCCGCCACAAGGTATTTCCCAACGCCGCAATAAATACCAGACTTGCTCTCCTGCTGCTACTGCTTTATTCATCCCAGCTACTTCCACATAAAACGTTCCGGGTCCCAAAATAAGCATCCGTGGGAGTTCAAACTCATCAGCTGGCCAAAACGCTGCTGACGGAGTGACCACCGCCCAGCAGGCAGCACTTCAGCAGCCCATCGCTACTTTCACTCCGGCTCAGCTGAACGCAGAATTCGGACACTCTCCCCCATCTTTACAAAGCCTACTGCTACCAAAAATAACAATTAATGCATAAATCCATCTGTCTTTACTCTCTGCACCAAGCTTGGGCAGTAGAGGGATTCAGAAAATGCAGAAGCTACAACTCTCCAGAGAGCCAGGAAGAGGAGATAATGCAGTACCCGAGAGAAGCTTTTAAGAGCTTAACTCACTCTTATTTTTAGATTTTCTTGCAGGTAGAGCACACGACGTTAATTTCACAGCCGTTTGAGCTGGCTTTTCACAAAAGAACCCCTTTGGAAAGGATCAGACATTTCTCACAATACAGAACGGTTAGGAAGAGAGAACAGCCCGAGCCGGGTTACTCACAAGGAGTATTTTAAAGTGTCATCTAGTTCCATGATAGCAGCCTGGTTCCCACAACGATAACAGTAATTGGGCGCACTGAAAATGGTGACCACATTTCGGTCGTGGCACCAATTATAACCCTGCCGGAAAAAGAGAGAGGGGGAAAAAAAAAAGTCTCTGTTAAACCTGAAACTGCAGCCCGTCTGAAGTTCCTCTAAAGGCCTGAAACGATCCAAGGCATTTGTGAAACTGCAGGCTTCTCGTAAGCGTTTCCAACTGACTTCATTTCAATTTAAAAGTGGCACTCTACCGCAAGAACAAGCGGTAGAGTTGCTAGTTGCCTAGCAAAAACAGCTTCCACCCGCTCTACGGAGAGATCGGCCATTCCTCACCCGTGCGTTTATCCATTTTGTACTCAAATTATGGATTGTACCCCAAGAAACCTCGAGATTTTTAGGCATGCCTTGGGCTTTCATCCACCACAAACGAGAATTTGCTGGCTGGATGCAAGCGACTTCTGACACACAGTGCTACTTAAGGGACCTACTTGAACTAGATTTTAAAAACCCATCCGCTCCATTGACCCACCTGGCCTTTTTCCAGCACGACACACAAGAATAGCCCATCAACAGCCAAAATTACGGCTTAATCCCTGTCACGTTTGACTGCCGAGTATTACAGGACAGCCTGTTTAATGCAGCAGCAGTCTAAGTAGAGCGGTCAGCACGTAAGGAGATTATTACTTCCACAAATGGGGTGTGACAGGGTCCCTTTGGCAATTTACTTGGGGGGGAAGGGCAGAACATCCCCTTATTTACATCGCAGGTCAAAGCACATCATTTTATGTTGCTTCTTGTTTTCACATGACTGAAGTCCCTCTTTGGTATTTACCTGCTTAACATTTAGGTGTCAGCAAACCCATCAGCGGAAGGTTTCACAGAGAAGACAAGAACTCACACCTGTGTTTTGTAAGCCCCGTCTAGCAGAGTGCTTGCCCTACCTCCATGACAAGTTGGTGAGCACGGGAGACCAGTGTGAGACCATTGGCATGGTTAAAGGTTTCAGAAATATCTTGCCCAAACGTGTAGCCAGCACCACGTGGAGATATACCCCAGCCGCCACGATCATCCGGATCCGACCATAACAGATCGCACATAGGACCCTTGAAAAAGATGAAGCGTTTGCTCTTCGTTAGATCGCTAGCAAGCCCGTTATAAAAAGCCACTTTTAAAATACATTTTATTTACAGTAAAAAGACTGCCAGCATGCCGTCCTCTGCGCAAGGCACATGAGTTTATTGAACACACCTAATATCGGCTAGTTACTCACTGCATCAGCCAGCATCCTTCCCAAAGAAATGAATACGTACACAGCTGACCGAGAAAGGCGTCGATGTAACCAGAGAACCGTTCCCACCTCCTCCTCCACTCACACCGTTTACCATATTTCACTTCAACTAGTCAGAGCTACGAAGACACGGAGAGCAGATCCACAGCCTTACTACTCCTGACTCTCACGGTGTAATAAAAAAGGCCACGTGAGAAGGTATGCACGTCCAAGGATACACAGAGGGTTCACCGGTGCCAGCCAAGTTGCAATAAATTAAAGAAAGGGAAACGACCTGTAGGAGGCTGTGAACTAACCGTTCCAGAGGCTGATGTTAAGCCTTCAGCAGCCCTTCTGGCAGGGAATTAATCATTTAATTTCCTCTCCTAAACAGTCGACTGCTGGACTTGACATACTCAAAAATATCCTGGTGTACATCTTCTAATAGTCACAAATGAAGCTCAGCGGCTTTCCTTGCTGGGCTACTAAGGGGCAGTAAGGACACTCCAGAATTTATCCAAGCCTGCTGCTGTTTCCCGCCCCCCGATCTGAGCTCTGCGGTAGGGATCGCACTGACTACACGCGGAGGTCCTCAGGACAGCTAGATTTCAGCACGCAGATACGCAGCAGAGGACTGGGAAAACCCCAGAGCAACAATACAATCATTACACCTAACTACAGGTAGATGTCCCACCAGGTAGCCTCCTCCCCCCGATTCTGGGAGTAACTTACACAGCTTATTTCAGGTTTTTGGAAGGCTTGGGCAGACCTTGCTGCATTGTTCTTGCTGTTATACCAAAGACAGTGTAAGACAAGCAGTTCATTTTAATTCGGGGAACATTTGTAAGCCCCAATCGCTCCAACACAGAAGAGCCATTTGCCACCCTGGGAGCCCAGAAGGTGGTTTCTTCAGTCCTGATCTCAGGCCCCCAGAAAACGATGAACAAGGCGAAACACCACAGAAGAAAGGAGTGGCTGGGGAGGAAGGATGGTGACACAACATGGCTTCACGTGGTGGCTGCGCGTTCACAAGCAAGTCTGTGATGAGGCTGAAGGTAGTAAACACCTTCCCCTGCCAAATACTACCCTTTGAGTCAGCGTGACAGTCAAAAAATCCCGTGATTCTGTGCAAAACAGCTGTGAAAACCCCCTTAGCTCTCCTTTTGTAAAGTGCTGTAATCAAAGCATATTGACTTGTGTGTGTTTTGCCCAAATGCATGTTCATCTGCTCTAGCTCTTAGAAAGGCAATAATCTGCTGTGTAACCACGTGTCCCGCTGCTTAAATGGATTTCAATGTGAGGCTACATTTGCATTTTCCACCAACAGATATCTAAGTTTATGATGCATTTCCTTTCCTGTTACCTCGTGTGGAACTTCCTGCAGGCGGTCCAGAGCCCTGATATGATCCAGTGTATCTATGGATGGAGAGAGGCCACCGTGGAGACAGAATATCTGTTCCGGAAAAAAAGAGCAATCCGTTCAGTGCATATTGTCATGGGAAGACTGATCTCAGACGTAGCTGGTTTTAGCTCCGTTATCATTCTTTGACAATTACGGCCATCTCGCCCTCGCAGCAGAGCAACCAAATTTAATTCCCGCAGAAGGAAACAAAATTAAAAGGCTGCACCTTGCGTACAGAGATCAGAGCAACAGCAAAGAGACCAGGCCTTCCGTTTTAAGAACATCTTGCCTCCCGGCCACAACTCGGCTCGCATCTGATGCGTCACGAGGGGCTCCCCACTTGTTGAGCAGTCATTTAAAATGAACCATACATGCAACACCCTGCCATTCCTTCGGCAGCAGAACCAAAAGCCTTCCCGCACCATCAACTTGTATTAACACCTCACTACGTTCTTCCCCAAACCTACAGTAAGTCCATGGGCTTTAAAAAAAAATTCAGACCACGAGTTAAGGGAGCTTGTTTGAGACTGATCATGTACAGGTCAGACAATACAGTCCGCGTAACTCTATGAAATGGAGCGTTTTCCTTATTCAAGGCTTACCTGGCCATCTACTAGAGCTGTAAGCGGAAGGTAATCAAACAGGTCTGTGAAATACTTCCAGACGTTGGCGTTGCCATACTTCCGCAGACATTCGTCATAAAAGCCATACACTTGTGTAATTTGTCTGCTTTCGTGATTGCCCCTCAGTATTGTAATGCGTTCTGGGTAACGCACCTATTGACAAAGAAAACTCTTCTTTAACACAAGAATTGTACCATCAATACGGAAAGAAACAGAGTATTTCAAACAGCAGTCAAGCATTCAGCTTTGTTACAGAACAGCACGTGTCCATTAACGCATCTCAATTTACATCCGTCTAGCTCAAGCCAACGGCAGCGTCAATGGGAGAGGCAATTCCTTCAAAACTCCCCGAAAGCGGGGTTTTGCCCAAGGCTGCTGTAGAAAAGCCGTCAAACCATACCTTCAACGCTACTAGAAGAGTCACCGTTTCCACCGAGTAATAGCCTCTGTCCACGTAGTCTCCCATGAACAGGTAATTCGTGTCCGGCGATTTCCCACCAATTCTAAAGAGTTCCATAAGGTCGTGGAATTGACCGTGGACATCCCCACAGACGGTGACGGGGCAACGTACCTCTTGCACATTTGATTCTTTCGTAAGAATTTCTTTAGCCTAGCAAGAAAAACACATTCAGGACAAAACGTTAGGAAGCTCCTCCATAAGCAGGTGCAGATGTTATCCCGCTGCATTCGCACTGGAAACCCCATTTCACTCCAGCAGCTCAAGCTGACCACTGGAAAAACAGCCTTGTGGGGTAAGCAAAGACAAAGTGCATTTCACAAATCCCTGTGGACAAAGACAAGCAGGTTTGCTACTGTGAGGCCAGGTCATTAAGATCTTATTGTTCCACAAGCACTGACAAACAAATTC